TGTGTTGAATGAGAGCATGTCGGCGAAAATGGCATCTCGTGTTTCCTACCTTGTATATTATTATTGTAGATAGAGTGAATTTAAACAAATTACTGCAAATTATCACGAAACTTCGTTGGAGCAATAAGGACAACAACAATTAACTGCAGAGTAAGTCTTATTGATCTTTATGTAGTATTTCCTAGAAATTTTAGGATGATATTTTTACCCCATACAAACACTGTAATTTTACTGAAACCGTACTGTGGTACTATCACAGAGCCTGGGTTACCTGTGATCCGACATCCCTGCGTGCTGATAGTCAGTGAATAATTATCCTCAAAACATTCGATTTCGTAACATTGAGTTTTAGCCAATTCGATGCTCAACGTAATTGACTCCTTACCCATGCCTAGCATATGCTGTTTTTGAAGCCTGATGTAAGAAAAATAGAGGAATCGTTTTTCACTGTTTGTTTTGTTAGACTTGTTATTCACCGCCAGTAACCTCATATTTGACTTAGGTCTAAACGTTTACATCCAAGTCAAATTTAGAAGGATTTGTATGGAGTCATCAGGGCATAACTGGGCTAATATCTCAGAGACAATTTGCCCCGAAATGCTAGTTTTTGGCAAGTAGGCCTCTTGGATGTTGCTCTTTTCAGAACATCCTGACAAATCCCATAATTCCACAAATTAACGCCTTACTCTTACCACATTTCATTTCATACTATTCCTCCGCGTTTACAATTACTCAGTTCCACAACCACGACACCGAAGTGTACGCTCCACAGCGTCTTCTTCCTTTTACGACCGCGACGAGCCTTGATAAATTTGAACTTGATTCTATAACTTTTTAGTTTAACTATCATGGAGGCGGTGGTCTCTCGCTACCATCCACAGGCTCTCTTTCTCACGAGATGTACTCTATCCAGTTCATCCCTGCTTACTTTATTCTCCAACACATTCTTCGTATTGGTCTAGGACTTTATCGTAACAATCCTCCCCCTCCTCTTCATTTAGCCCGAAAGGAATTTCTTCTCGAAAAGTGTTCGTTGTTATTGGCCTTGGCCTTCACATCAGCTAGCTTACACTTCAGTGTAGCAAGTTCCTCTCTGAGAGATAAAATCTCTACTGCTGCTTAAACTGCCGCGACGATGGCAACCTCTATTAAGCGGACGTGGACACCTAAAAAGTACCTGAAATGGTCATTTACTGATTAAAATCAGTAAACACTTTACTGGCCACCACCCCAGCCAGTTCTATATAGG